AGGATTTCGAATAACAAATCGCCACATTGTAAATGCTTGGAAGAGTGCAGTGAGTATACCGTTCGGTTATAACACGACAAGTGATGATCCATCCCAAAATCATGGCTTTTTAAGCAGATCTTTCATTTGACAGTGCCGATTTTGTCTGCAGTATTATTATTGAAACAATGGAAAAAACGAGACACCTTCAACGTGTGAAATAGGAACGTCTTAGCGGATGGCCCCAGTACTGTTTTTCGTGACACGTTGCGATTAACCAGTATGGACATGTCTAGAGTTTCTCAAAGTGTGAATTTTTTAAGTGGCTTGGTGGAGACAACCCCCCCATTAACAATACTTAAGACAATAGTATGACACAGACGGGATTATACACGAATTAACCCAGTATTACGCTTTGGTTGAAGGCGTGTAATGCATCCGGTTGCGTCTTTGTTTACACGAAACATCATTGTTTCACGAATGGAACACCACGCGACCAGAAAAACTTGTATTGAAAATTTAAAACAAAGAAAGCAAAATCGCGAACATTAGTTGTCGCGAATGTGCCCAAATTCACAAACTCGCAAAAATTTCTAGCCGCGAAATTTAAGCGGTTTACAGTATACCATCTCTGCTATACACCAGTGCAGTAAGAACCAACCTTTTCTGGCTCGTCTGGGTTCTTATCTGGATGATATTTCATGGCAAGTTTCCGGTACGCTTTCTTCAGCTCTGACTCTGTAGAGGAAGGTTTAACTCCCAGAATATCATAATACTTTGTCTCCTTCACCATGGTTACAGATATAAATCAATTTTCTGAAATCACAAGAAGAACCATTATGAGAAGCTAAATTGAACAAATATAATTAATACACAATCTTCACAATATTTGACTTTCACATGTGAAACTATTGCCATTGAATGTGATCACTAAAAGCTGGATGTTGTATAGAGTTGGCTATCAAGTGGGTTAGCGTGGGTTATACAATGTAGCACACAATGTAATGCCCTGGTGTTTGTGTGCGAAACATGCAATATTCATTGATCACTTTATTCGTATTGTTTTATACAAGTTCGCTAGTAATCTGACTTACCATACCATACCATACGTTGTCTCAAAATATGCATTCTGAAGTACTACAAATGCACAAGTGTGAATGTGATAGAATCACCACAGGATGTTCTTTTGTTACAATTTATATTCAGCCAATTAGAGGCTTTCCTGCTGATTTTGTACTTGATGGAGACCTTATTGATGTATATCAAGGGCATACTGCAATTTTTGTGTCATTCTTTGTGTTATATCATGTTGTAACAGGCTTTCTGTTAGAAATGAAATAAAAAGTTCTACTGTGGGCATTGGTGCTGATTGTGTAAGATAATTTTGCATACTAATTTTGGTTATTTTTCCTAGTTGCAACCTAAACTTCAACTATGGGATTTACATGAATTGTAGAGAAATGTGTACTATACATTGTATATAATCGTTTTGAATATTTGTTCAAATTATATTTACCGAATTTAAATATTGTTGCTACACGACACATAGTTTCACAAAGATTCGCCTGTTCTAAAATACTGAATCGTATGCAGTGATTCCAAGTGAATCATACCATTAAATATGAAACATAACACTCAGGACCCTAAAATTAAGCGTTATGAAATATCTCACAAAGTGCAGATTTAAACCTCAATACACACAACAGATATTAAACGGTGTTGTTTGTCTGTATCAGGTCCGTAGCATGCAGATCCATGATTTGACAAAGCCAAAATATGTACGTTTAAAGACAAAGAGGCAACACTTCACAACCACGATGAAGAAACGATTAAACGACGTAGAAAAAATATAGATTCTCAAATCATGACCATGTAATTTTGTTGAAGTAGAGGCGATATATTTTTTTTCAAAGGCGTAAATGACGAAATTCGTCGTGACTAGTGACTGTCTAAATCTCTAATCACACGAGGCCGGTAAATGAAAATTCCAACAACGTACCTTCTCTATATTAAACTATAAAACGTTCTACGCCGATCAAAGTATACACCGTCGCGTCGTACTCTTGAAGTTCAAAATAATGAATCACTTAGTCTGAAGGCAACAGTTAAAATATCCTTACCAACACAGATCGAACCTTCTAGAGCTGTCCGGAACAAGAGCTAGATCGAGATTGTTCTGTAAATTGAACAGGAAGTGACGCACATTTACAGCGCCCTCAACCAATTAGTGCGCATGCGCACTAATAGGATTACGCCTTTCCAAGTCACCATACTTTTTATATTTTGTTTATGTACGCATTCCACCGAGGAAAAATACAAGAGCCAGAAAAAACAAAACGACGAACCAAAACAAGCAATTAAAATGGATAGGACAAGGCTAAAGGATGATGAGGGAGAAAACTCAAATTAAAATCATTAACTCTCTTGAAACTTGGTATTTGCATGATCTATTTCATTGTATTTTCCCCTAAAAAACATCAAATAACACAATATCATCTATTTATGAAAAGTTGCTTTTTTGAAACGATTTTGTTAAAGAGTACGTAGTGATCGTCACACAGCTCGGATTCAATTTCGTGTAAACCAAACAATATTGTACACGCGCTGTGTATGTTACCACGTGTCTCATATCGATCACGACGCAGCATGACGTATCACCCTTTAAATTTCAGTAACTATAAGCCAGAGATGTCGCACAAATAAGTAACAATTGATGCTATAGTTAGTGGCCATCTGGGCCAAACAATATTACTATTCATCTCCATTCCCCATTAAATATTAATAATTCTGGAAAAGTACGGTATTATACTATTCAAGTATAATGTTGCAACAGAAAACAATTTTCTAAGCGTAACAATTTACTAAATTATGTTAAGGTAGAATTTACTCATAATTTTTGAGAAAGTTTGTACTATCATTTTTCAATATTTAATATGCGCTGTAATTTTTCAATGTTTTAAAGAAGAATTTTTCGAAACTTTCCAAAACCCATATTTTTGAAACTCAGGACAACAAAAAGTACGCTCTCACTAACAATATATATATATATATGTACGTAGCCTTTGGGAGGCATGTATTCAAACTCTTAGAATTTGACACACACACAATTTTCAACAAAAACAAATACATTTTAATTAACAGCACATACACATAATATTAGGCAACTATAACAATTCGCAACATTGACTTTCCCTTTACCACAGATTTAAATAACGGAGACGTGACTTCTTCTTCTTCCATAAAGGCATTTTATTTACCTTGGTATGCCAAACAGAATAGCATTGTAATTATAGTCTTCTGTATTTATTTCCGTATTTATTTCCAAGTTTGAATTTATGTTGAATAAAATAAGTCCTGGTAAGTTAGTGCCATTTTCAATTCAAATTGAATTCAAATCTAAGATTTATTGCAGTTTCCGCACTCTTTCCACACCGTTCCAGCTGGCGAAGATAACTGTACACTGGCAAAGTCGGGACTTCTTTTTTGTTTTACAAAAAGAAATAATTGTTTTAGCATGATCGCGAAAACTAACGTAACCGGGATTTCTTTTGCGGTCACGATAGTTTTCGCCATCACGCTAAAAAGGCTAAATTGTCAATTAATTATGTTTTTCATGTAAAACAAAGAAGTCCCAACTTTGTCAGTCGAGGATAACTGCACAAGTAATGTTTTGAAGGAATTCATGGTTGTGTGACGTCACATTCTGACCTGCGACCTCCATACGATAATCATGGCTGACAATAACTGTGGCTGACAAGGTTTTGTTTACCACCAGCCAGACGGGGCAATGGAACATAAATACCAAGAGGGCGATGTGAGACATCTACTACAATCATCTGAATCATCTAACGATGATTCCGACAGTGAAACAAGAGAGCGCTATGGTAAGTGTCAGCCGGCATCACAGGGAGTACCGAACTGCAAACAAAACCTCGTCATCACGAAAAGTGACTGCACCCTTTCAAACAATCGAAACGTAATTATTTCGATTTTTTGTAATTTATTAGCTTTCACAATTCCGACCTGTCAACGAATTGCCCTTTTAAGTGCGTCTGCCTTCTTGGACCAGCTGTTTGAACACACTGGTGCTCGGGGGCTCAACTACTTTGTACGTGCCAGTTGAGGTCAAAATAAAAGTAGCGGTATTAGGATAGGATAGGATAAGATAGGATATTATATTTGGAACGTACACAAAAACAATGCTTGAGTAAAGTCCAATATAAGAAACATAAAGTAACACAACTAATCTAAAATAATTTTAAAATCTGAAAAACAAAATTAGCTAAAATACTACAAACATATTTGTCTACACTAGAGAAAACATTAATAATAATAATAATAACTTTATTACGCAACTTAACTTGCTGTGGGTTTAGTAAGGTAAAAAATGATTACAAAAGACAAATAAAATAAGACACACTAAAACACTAAAATTAAAATACACTGAATAAACAATTCTTTATTTGGTAAGGTTTGATAATCAGATGAGTATTTGAACAGTGCGTAGAGGATTTTTTTCCTGTGTTCTGAAAACTGTCACAATGAAAAAAGTAGTGTTTTTCAGCACCCTCATCATTAGAGTCACACTTGTTACATACCCTGTCAATTTTTATTTATTCTCCTGTGACGGCCTATTTCAATTGGCAAGAAGTGGGCTGAAATACGAAATTTGGTTAATGCTACTCTGTGTTTTTTTGTTTTTTATATCATCCAAGTATTTTTCAAATTTATAATTATATTTGAATGTTTTGTAAGTATTTAGTTTATTATGACCAGTTTTGTTCAACTGACTTTCCACATCTGTTGAGTAAATATATGGTGACGTTTATAGTGTTTCTCACCCCAACTCTACAAGACGTACGTCTGCAAGAGACTGTGAATTTACGTGATACAAACATTTTTCAAAAATATACAAATTTCATTATGAAAATTGCCACTGTTCAACAATGATTTCTGTTATCTATGTTTTCACTGCAAAAATGAATTCTACTTTATGATATGTTTTTAATTGATATATCACAAGATGAATTTTGAGTACCTGGTAGTTTTTTTGTGTGTGGGTATGCAAACTAGGTTTGGGCCATCCCAACCTTTTCAATGTTAATATCATCTTTTCATTAGAGGACTTCATATGCGATCAAAAACAGGAAGTTTGTATTAATCTGATGGGATTTACACCTTAATTTTTATCTTCTTTATAATGAATAAAAAGCTTCTTTTGTATTGTGTTTTACCCCTCCACTATAATTTGGACTATACGGCAAATGGTTGGGTGTGAAAAAATTAGTGTTTCACATTTATTATTTAATACTAAATGTATAAGATAAGGGTATGAACTTTAAGGTATATATGCAGGGACGTGGGCACTTGGAGTGAAATTTTTTTTTTTTGCTTTTTCTCACCCAGACAGTTTTGGCTAGATAGTGTTAAAATTTCGGAGTATTGTCAATTGGAACATACTCAAAATGCTGGAACATACTCAAAAATCGATTTTAAGTTATAGGGAACCGAGGCACGCATATGTGATTAAAAGAACCGAAAGTTTGTTTACGTTGCTCTTTGATTGACAAGTCACTGTTGATTTTATATGCAAATGAGTTGCTGGCGTCAGTTACGGTGCGGTGATGTGTAACTTCCTGTCCGCGACCCTGTTTAACTTACCTCAAGCGCTATCAACTAGTCTCGCAAACTACAAAAAAACGAAAAAACGGATGTAATGATTTGAGGCTATGATGTTTAGTTTAGTTGATATCAATGATATTGATACATTGTATGGAACATCTCGTGAGTATTTAGACTCAGTTCCAGGCCTAGCAGTTGAGCAATAAACACCTTGGCTACAAGTGCTCCTCTCCAGTGTGTTATTCTCCTCCCGGATTTGGTGACCAATACTCACTTATTTCACTCTACCTTGAGAAGTCTAATCTAATCAGTTCATTCACAGTCTCATTACTGGTAACTTGCATTTTAGAATTTTTGGAAAATCTTGTGATTTTGTGATTATCTTGCAATTCATATGACTTTTTCAAATTACATGAAATCATCATCACATATCACACACTGATCTTATAAATACTTGATGCCATCTACTTTTTTATAGGTACAGTCAATATACAAAATAAAGAATCGCATACATTTGAAGAAGCAATTGACGCCGCTGGTAAGACTTTTTCAATAATAATGATAATCATGACTCACGTACACGACTTCTCAACCTAAAATCAAATTTGAAAACGTCATAGATAAATCTGGCACCCTCACAGTTTCTTAAGAGAGAGGCCTTTCAAGTTAACGAGCTCTTAGGAGCTTCTTTCAGAGTTCACTGCAAAGGCCTCTTCTACTGAACAATGAGGGCGCCACGTTATGAAAAGTGTATTCTTATTTACATGTTACAGTAACGATACTGTTGGTGCAACAAAGGAATTCCTTCATCTTTATAAATTTCGTAATTTAAACTGAAACAAGAGTTTTCCATTGGTGGATTTAATAACATTGTTGTACTGTGCTTGTTGATTGGCTGGTTTGATTCAACTGTCATTGAAATTTATGAATAATTACAAAGATGAAGAAATGCCCTTGTTGCGCCAAGAGTATTTGAAACAAATAAAATATTTAATTAATTATTCTTTAATTAATACACACTAGTTCAGCATTCCTGTCAACTGTACAAATTGAAACAAAAACACATACTTACTAGTCTGATTGCTTCAATATTTGCTATGTAGCTACCCTGGATGGACCACAATCAGATTTGTTCATCTTATGGAAATAACTTTAATTTGCTATTTTTCGGGGAAAAAAATGTTGTTTTTATTTATTTTTTCTTGTGTGTCACACGCAACGTAATATTACCGTAATTGGTATAGTACGGGTGTGATGGTTCAAATACCAAAATGGCAACAGTAACAGAAAGACTTTCCTGGCGGTGATGATAAAATACGAACACGGAGCCAACAGATGAGGGTTCAACTGGTACTGGTATTATTATACTCTGCAAACATCAAGTACACTAACGCGGTAAAACTCCAAACCTCCAATAACTAGATACTTAAACTCCAACACAATTCAGCGAGATCTCCGATCTGATCTCAGTGCCATTACATCAGCATACATAATGAGTCTGGAACTTACTACAAATTTCTAGAATGTTCCATTACCTTCTATTGCCTCCTACAGTGTTCTATTACCTATTCAACCATTTTCTAAAAAATATGGAATATTCCACCCAGACACAGTACGGTTCTAGAACATTCTCAGTGACACGGAAGTGGTAAATAAGTCGTATGCGACATTGTGATTGTTATGATATTTTATACATGTTTGTAAATACATTCAGATTTGTTTATATTGTGTCAATACCTTTATTTCTTTCTTTAATATTAGTGGATGTTGTTGTTTATTTTTGGTAACAACATTTCCATTTTTTCTTCTCACATGAAAATAAAACTACATCACTAAAAGCCACTAGCTCGATTTCTTGATATTAGGAGGCGTACAGGTGACCTCATTTTATATGCCATTTCATCTGTTTTAAATTGTTAGTGTGAATTCAATGCATGATTCTGGTTCATTTTTCATTCTTTAATGATGTCATATTGCAGGTTTTGGCTTATACCATTACATGTTATTGTGTGTGTGTGGTTGGGCTAATGCCAGCGATGCAGTGGAGATGCTGTGTGTGTCTTTCCTGATGCCTCAAGCCAAAACTGATATGCATCTGACAGGATTAGAGGAGGGCTGGCTTAGTGCCACTATATTTGTCGGTAAGTCCAAGGATTTATAAGTTGTAGATGTGAATGTATGTACATAAACAAAACGCGCAATCGCCTTGACTATGTGCATGTTTATGGATATGCCTATGTATATCGGTTACGATGTACTCTCTCATTTGCAACACAATTTACAACAGAGAAATGTTGTTTAAAATGACTTTAAACAAAATAACTCCAAAAAATACGAACATAACTATGCTTTTAAATGCCATCTTCAGATATTTAATCCGTGTTGCGTTGAATGGCTCAAGGGCCTCCCCACCCGAATGTGCAACCACCCACTGTTACTTAATGTTATTCAAAACAAGATGTTTTTTTTTATCTACAATTATCATGCAACTGGTGTAAAAGCAGTGATGTTCCCATTTTTAGTCGTGTGAATATCGAGACATTCACAAAAAATGTACACTCCTAGAAATGCAATTGCTAATGAGTGTGTGAAAGAATTAGTTAGTGTTCTCATTCTTGGCTATTTGCAAAGCATATACATTGTGTATGATTTTTGCCGTTTCAAGTCATGTGAAAAAGCAAGACGTTCACAAAAAATAAACGTACATTCTTAGAAATACTATTGAGTGTGTGAAAGAACTGATAAGTGTTTGCAAAGCATGTAAATTCTGTATGATTTTTTACCTTTATAGTTATGATGATAACCTTGCTAATCTGTCAAACAAAACTTTCCAAAAGTGTTCACTACATTCTGTTGTGCTATTGGTTGCAAATATACTCTATTGACATATGCATGGAAACTCCATCGCTTATTGGCGTACTTGGAAGTTGTATAACCTTCTCTTAGGAAAGATTGATTAAATAATATCAACATTTACATTTTAGAAACTTACAGTCTGGTAAATGTCTAAAACAATATTTTATTGATGATTGACTATAATATCATTTACAATGACTTGTTTTTTTTCATCCTACAGGAATGATGGTTGGCAGTTACTTTTGGGGAGCTCTGGGTGATGTCAGAGGTCGGAAAGCAGTCTTGGTATATTCATTATTCATGAATGGATTTTTTGGGTTAGCCTCAAGTTTTATGCAGTCTTACGTACCATTTCTTTTTATGCGGTTCCTTAGTGGCATTGGGTAAGTGTACTATGAACACTACAGACAGAAATCATGGGAATACCAGTTCAGTTATTGCAGCTAATATTTTTTCAAATTTGTATCCTTGATCGCATCCCAAACTACCATGTCTGTGAGAGTGAATTTTTGCAACTTTCGAATGCAAAATCACATAAAGGAAATAATTATTGCATTTATTTGCATAATAAACAGTCAAATATTGACCTTAACATATTGTATTTGGGTACTTTTTAACAGTTATATTCTGTGAGGGACCTTAAGATTAATACAGTTCATGTAATATTAATTGGAAGAACTGCTGATTAATTTTGTCAATAATTTTAACTATCATGTACTCTCAGCTAGTTTATAACATGAGTGACAGTTTTGTTATAACAAACGGCAAACGGGCTGAACTCAGTGTGTCTTTGCTAATTAAATTGTTAACACTTCTTATAGCCTGGAATCTAGTGTCCTTCTCAGTGAACTCAACAATCGCCTGGTGAATCGCTAAGTAAAAAATATGTAGACAGCACAGAATTGTGTGTCATCACTGATTAGCTGTCTCCATAACTTCAGTACAATGCCATGTGATTTTGTATGTGCAGACTGACCTGTGTCTAAGCTCCCCACAGCCCTTCATACAAATTCACTAGTTAATTATTCATAGATTTTTCAATGTCTTATGATTATATACAGCATCTAGTCTACAATTATTACATCTTCAAGTTAAACCCTCTCATACTACACTGTAAGCATTAATTATTCGCTAGTTTTTAATTTTGCCGATAAATAAATTAAATTCATATGAACTTGTAAATTAAAATAGAACTCATTGTTCACCTGCAAAGTTTGTGAACTTAAAACCCAGTGGAATTGCTCAAAGTGTCAAAATAATGAAATTACCTCCATTAGAAATATATGGTTTTACATTACCTGGGATCTTTGAATGGGGCAAGGTTATAATTGTTTCACTATGTTTTTCCCCCCAAATGACAACCTTAAAATGACGAATGTAGTTATGCTTTCATTACTTTATTTTTCACCTTTTCAGTGTTGGTGGATCTATGCCAGTGATATTCGCTTACTTCTGTGAATTTCAACCCAAGAAACGCCGTGGTGCAATGTTGACAGCGATTTCTATGTTCTGGATACTGGGTAATGTGATAACAGCTGGTCTTGCCTGGATCATCATACCACGGACTCACCTGGGATATTTTTCCGAACACTTCACTTTCAACAGCTGGAGAATTTTTGTTGTTGTTTGTACTCTACCAAGCTTCACTTCTTCTTTATCTTTTGCGATTCTTCCTGAAAGTCCAAAATTTTTACTCGAGGTCAGTACTGGTGCTTTTCAAGAGACAAATATTCAGTGTCAGCGAAAATTGTTTCACCACAAAGTGTGGCAGCATTCTCAAGAATGCCATACAATAATTCCTAGCAGCAAAAATGAAAGATTTAATAGTTTTTTGGCACATGTTGATCACAATAAACATTTTATACTTTAGAAATCAATCTTATTATTTTATGAAAATTTCAAAGCTCTATCTTCAGTGAAAATAAAATCCAGCGAATATACTTTTTTTCCTATGTCTCACATTCAACACCTCAACAATAAGTGAAAATAAATTCCATACAAAACACTCGCAAATCTGTTTCAGTGAAAATTAATTCCAGCTAAGTATTTCAATTTTTTCAGAGATGGTAGATGTAATTAATATGAATAATACCTCATAAATGATTTGTGCTAAATTCATGCATTCTGAAAATTTCATTATCTGAATGTAAAATTACCCATATATTTATGAAAATGCAAAAATAGGCATTCAAAAAAGAATTATGTAAAATCACTGATTGTTATGTTTGTAATGTTTTATTCTACATTTTTCAAAAAAAAAAAGGTGTATCCCTTTTAATTTCTTTACATTGCACATTTGCATCATCATTAAAGGTTTTATTTACTTTCCAGTGGCATAAGGTGAAGTTTTTTGAGTTTTCATATTGTCTAAAAATGGAAAAACTAAAATACTAGACAACCACACACACACACTCGGTCGACAGTCGGCTATAAAATGTTGTAGGATAATACAGTTTATAGTCAGCCATGCATCCAACCATATGCTAGTATTTAGAACCGTCTGGGGTGCTCAATTGTATGCTGTTTGACATTCATTTTTACATTTCCATTTCCATTTTTTTTCTTCCTAACTGTTCATCTGCTTTACTTTTATTATAGAATGGACAAGAAACTCAGGCACTTAATGTTTTGAGGAGCGTTTTTCTTGTTAACAATCGGAAGAAGAAGAAAACAGATTATTTTGTAAGTAGACATTAGACACACTATATAAGCTGCTATGTCATCCAGGAGAGAGATGCTTTTATATGTCGCTGTCTATCAATAAAAAAAGAATATTTTTTGTGAAATTTACTATATTCTAAAGATAAAGATACCGGTACTGCCTAACACAGATGTGTATTCAAAACATTGCTTACAGACATCTATGTCATTTTGACAACATTTTTTGCTAGGAAACACACCTCTATGAAGTAATTACCTGATATCACTTGTTCATGGAACTGTTTGATATTGATTGAAGATATATGCTAGTATTATCCATAAATTGAGGGTGAATGCAAAATAGAGCCCATGTCACCACAAATATACATAAGCTCTACCTCCATTCTTTTAGAACTAATGAGAACCAAAAATTCATCATATTCCATATGTGTAGATGCTCTAATAGAAGTCGCATCCCCTCTTTTGCATTGTACCATTTCAATAGAAGTCGCGGCTTCTAATACAGATTTTTTACAGTTTTTTGAGTATTGTTGGTTTTCATTCAGCATACTTTTCAAGCAGACATAAACTGATGACATTCAGTGTACATATCATCATATTTACTGTGAATTATAAGTTAATGCTATAATCTTAGCAACAAATTTCGGGAAAGGCATAATGTACATGTAATAAATATTTAAATGGGAAGATCATCATATACCACATTCACAAATCAAACTCACAAATTTTCTTCCATATTTTTGGCAAAATCAAGATTTGTAGCCAAGGAGAAATTATGTTCATTTGGTCGGAAATTAACAGAGAAATCGTAAAATTAACTAAAAATGTGAAACAAATTTGTGCACAAAAATATTGGGTGTGAACAATGATATTTAAAATATTTTTTTTTTTATGTCTCAGGTTAAAATTCTACAGCCGTCTCAACAGGCTCGAAAAAGAAGTGCACGGATTGCCTTGAGTCAAGTCTCATTTTTCACCAAAATTAAAAACAATTTTCTCTTTGTTATTTCTTCTACAAAACAATTGTTCCTTTCTCCATATTTGCTGGTGACTCTGAATTTACTGGGAATCATATTTAGTCTAGCATTTGGGTGAGTAAATACTATTATTCCTATTATTGTTGTATTCAAATGCTTTTTTTTGTTTAACAGGTTGTAGCAACAATGTAGCATGGATAGTGTTATGTCACTCAATGCAAATGATTGTATTTTGTGGCCAATTTCATACAAGACTTTTTGCTGCATTTCAGACCCCCATTAAAAAGGTTTTACTTGATGTCATCGCAAGCATCATCACCTGCACCTCAAATTATTTTTGACAATTTTGGGTAACAGTAAAGTGTGCAAAATATGATAGAATTGGGAAATTTTTATGTTTCAGGTTTTGTTGATTTAAATAAATCTTTAATGCATGCATGTATACAAATCTTAAATGTTTAACATGTATCTTGTTGTTGTGGTATTAAATAATCTTAATGCGAAGTTAAAAACTTGTCATCACACCATTTTTCAATTTTCCCTATGGTGAGAAATAAAACCTTTTTGGGGGAGGGGCTCTTATCTCTTTTTAAATTATGCCTAGAAGCTGGAAAGCTTGTATACAAATTAGATTATCATGAGATTTAAAATTGCATTGACATGTACTAAATTATGTTCATTTCAGATACTATGGTCTTTGGCTTTGGTTTCCTGAGTTGTTTCTGCGAGTAGAACAGTCTGGTGGTTCTGCATGCTCAGAGTTATCTCCCAACGTCACAATCAACACTAACAATACCGACAATTCAGTATATAGGGATGCCTTTATAACTGCAGCAGCCAATGTTCCGGGGAACCTCTTTGCCACTCTTACGGTTGACAAGCTTGGAAGAAAGGTTTTACTCTGTAAGTTTTCAGTTTTTCATCTATACCACCTAGTAGTTACATTTCATTCATTGTTATTTGGTAAAATGTAATTTATTTTGAATTATTTGATCACCAGTAATAATAATAATAATAATATTTATTATGCCTTTGGAACGGCAACAAGAGCCAAGAGCCAAGAAAAATCATACATATTTGAAACTGAATAAAAATTAAATTTGAAATTAATCTCATGGTGAATTCATACAACTTTCATTTTTGTGTTTAAAAAGATATTTAAGAAATGTTCTTGCTTCTTTAAAAATAACATCCTGCAATTTATACAGCTGGGTATAATAATAATAATAATTTTATTCAACATGAAAAACATACTACAGAAGTTGTTTTTATGATTGTATAAACAAAAGAAACAAAAAACAAAAAAATAGACGAAGGACCTTCTATTTCTATTTATAATATACCATGTGGTTCTCTATATAGGTGGAAGTCTTTTGATATCTGGTGCCAGTGTCTTCTTTATCTGGTTTCTTAATACCAAAATAGAAGTGCTTGCAATGTCTTGTATATTTGGCGGTGTATCAGTTATTTCCTGGGCAGTACTGAATGTGGTAGGAGCTGAATCGTATCCAACAAATATGAGGTATGTCAAATGCTTCCAGCTATCAATAATTTCCTAAAACTGTTTGTCACACCTTTTCCGGATTAGGGAGTTAGCCTAAGTATTGTAAATATGAAGGAAGAATTGAAGAAAAAACAAACATTCAGAATGCATGCATCATGAGTCTTTGCTATATTCTGAATGCATAAAATGTTTTGTTCGTTTTTTGAGTTGCTATTTCCAACTTTTATTTGAAAATTAATATTGCTTTCATACTTACAAGGAATTTTACTGCTTTGTATTTTTAGTATCCTTATTATTTTTCTTCTTTCAGATCCACGGCATTGGGTGTGCAGTCACTCACAAATCGTATAGGCGCTGTGGTTGGGAATGTCATCTTTGGTGTATTTATAGATCTTCACTGTGCTGTGCCTATCTTATCCGTGGCAATATTATTGGCATTTGCTGGAATAATTACACTCAGACTTCCAAACACAAAGAAGACAGACCTTCTGTAATAAGAGAGGTGATTGTGTTTAACTGTAAATGTCTGAATGGTCGCTATGTATAGACTCCACTATATTTTATTAATCACATTTATTCACTAAAGGGCTGGCTCCTTTTCATTACTTCAAATTTTATATCATTGATTATTCAAGAGCTGTGTTCACTGAGCTAGCAACAGAGATAAAACATGTTAAAAATTTGATTTGTTATTCAGACATTCTTTAAAAGTTACTAAGCATGCTACCATAACAAACTATGAATCATCTAAAAAGCTTAGATATAGGCAAATACGTGTTCAAGGGATTACCTGACTGGGAATTTCACTATTGTGCTCTTTTGACTACTGTAAAATATTTAATTTTTGCTTGGAACTAATTTTCGCTATTTTTGCTGAGGGAATGATTCAGTGAAAATAAAAGCCAGCAAATATAATTTTTTACTCATATTTTACATTCAACTTGTCAAAAAACAGTGAAAATTAATTCCATATAAAACACCAAAAAAGTCTTTTCAGCGAAAATTAAATCCAGCTAAAATAAAGTATTTTACAGTATTCCAACTACTGTAAAATACATTATTTTTGCTTGGAATTAATTTTCGCTATTTTTGTTGAAGGAATGATTCAGTGAAAATAAAAGCCAGCAAATAAACTTTTTTACTCATATTTTACATTCAACTCATGAAAGATAAGTGAAAATAAATTCCATACAAAACACCAAAAAAGTCCTTTCAGCGAAAATTAATTCCAGCTCAAATAAAGTATTTCACAGTATTGAAAACACCAGTTTTTAGCACTTGCAGTCATGCAATTGACCTCCAAATTGCGCAGAATTTTGGTAATACTGTAAGCTAGACAATCATGTATCACTTTTTCAATGTCTGCCTTTCTTATCTAGCTATGATCAAATAACTACAGACATGCTGTTGATAATCTGATGCCAGTACGCTCTGCCATATTCACCTATATCTAAGCTTTCAGATGATATATAAGTTGTTATAGTAACTGGCTTTAATAGTAACTTTAAAAGAATTTTTGAATCACAAATCAATTTTTGATTTTACGTCTGTTACCTTAAAACATCACAGCCATTGTATCGCTTCATGTTCAATACAGGTGTACGTTGTTTGTTTACACAAAATTCAAACACGCACTGTGCGACGACTGTAGAACTTTATATTTCGTGGCAATAATACAAAATCGCACAGTGTGATTCATAGAATACTAATAAACTAAACAAC